TTCTTGGGCTCCAAAATCACTGCAGATAGTAACTGCAGCCATGAAATTAAAAGACACTCCTTAGAAGGAAAGTTATGACCAACCTAGACGGCATATTTAAAAACAGAGACATTACTTTGCCAACAAATGTCTGTCTAGTCAAGGCTATGATTTTTCCAGTAGTCATGTATAGATGGTGAGAGTTGGACTACAAAGAAAGCTGAGCACAGAAGAATGAAAGCTTTTGAATTGTGGTGTTGGAGAGAAGACTCTTCAGAGTCCCTTGGACTCCAAGGAGATCCAACCAATCCATCCTAAAGGAAATCAGTCCTGAATATTCATTGGAAGGACTGATGCTGAAGCTGAAACTTCAATACTTTGGCCACCCGATGCAAAGAACGGACTCATTTGAAAAGACCCTGATGCTGGGAAAGATTGAAGGCAGGGGATGACAGAGGATGAGATGGCTGGATGGCATACCAACTCAATGGACATGAGTTTGAGTAAGCTCCGGGAGTTGGCGATGCATAGGGAGGCCTGGTGTGCTGCAGTTCATGGGGTCACAAAGAGTCGGACACGACTGAGCAATTGAACTGAACTGATCTTGAAACAGATCTAAAATATAAAATAGGGGAGGTGGGAGTGGGGATCGGGATGGGGAATACATGTAAATCCATGGCTGATTCATGTCAATGTATGGCAAAGACCACTACAATATTGTAAAGTAATTAGCCTCCAACTAATCAAAAAAAAATGAAAAAGTAAATAAATAAATTAAATAAAATATAAAATAGTTGAGCTCATCAGTTCATTAATTCATCTATTTTGTGCCTGCACTGTCCTAAGGACTAATAGACACAGATAAAGAACAGTTCCTACCTTCAAGTTAGGTGGGAAGATAGGCATGAAGTCAATTAACTGTACTGCAGTGTGACAAGTAGTATAATAGGATGTAAAGCAAAACGTGGGCACAAAGCAGATACTTATCAATACTGTGACATGTAAGAGACCTTTATGGAAGAGATAATATTTAAATTAGCTATAAAGCAGTAGGTAGATGAGAGAGTAACAAGTGAATAGAAGCATGTGTCAGTGAGAGGGGGAAATCCACTTAAAGGTACAAAGAGTTACAAAGCATCACCTGTACTTGTGGTACACTGTTCAGCTGTCTTCTTAGAATTTTATTCATTGTAATCCTGTACTGGATTCACATCTTCCTCTTAACTGGTTTATTTTTCATTTTGCTAGAGCTTACTGCATGGTATATCAACAGCTTGCAAGCTATAGAGAAGCAGGAACCTGACTAGTGAAATGGTTAGCTGAATTTCTTTAATTACCCTGGTATTTACTCCGTGGTGCTCCCTGCTTTTTATATTTGTCAACTGTGGACCTGAAAGATCTCAGGATCTATAGTTTTCATTATAGCATTTGACAGAAGTAAGTAACTATCAAAAAAAGGTGTGTTAATTATATTTTGGTTAAAAGAGGCACACAAATGTTTTAAAAATATTTTCAACAACAAACATAATAAAGCAAAGTGCACAGATGAAAAAGGGTTACTATTGAATTTAGGGACTTGGAATGACTCTTTTCCAGAAAATAGTGATGAGTTAAGATTCTCTGCATGGTGTTCAGGTAATAGAAATTTATGGTCACTCATTCAGCCTTGATAGGCCAAGAAGGAAAATTAATAACTAGAAGACAACAAAGGAAAAGGAAACTCAGGGAAAGGATACTGAGATGCTTGGCCTGGGGAAAGAGAAAATAGTGCTAATTAAGGTGCCATTTCTGTGGTATTCTTTCCAAAGACACAAAATCTCATTCTAACCATAAGAAAAGGGTATAGTCTCAGCTTTAGTCCGAAGGCCTGAAAACCAGGAAAGTCAATGATGTAAGACTCAGATGCTAATGTCATCCAGAAACACCCTCACAGACACAATCAGAAATAATGTCTAATCAAAAAGCTGGACACCCCATGGTCCAGTCAAGTTTTCACATAATTATCATACTATTCCCTGGGGTTCTGGCTAAATTAGACTGGTTCTAGGCTAGTTCTGATTTCCCAGGATATGCATAGATGGTTAGAGCCTGGCAGGAGAAGGCTTCAGGCCTGACTGATAGTTGTAGTCCACAGAATAATATTATATTTTCATTGATTGGAACTTGGCTGGTACCCAGCGCAGTAGGTGAAGGGCCTAGCCTCTGAGCACTGAATAAGTAAGGTGTGGGAATGAAGGTTGGGGTATGAACTTTTGCCAAAAGGGTTATGGGGGTTGGTATATAAAATATATCCAAAACACAAAAACAAAGACCTTGTAATAAAGACTCAGAATATAGTAGGGATGAAGGAAGAAACTGGTCAGTTCTCTATATACATGGATGTTTTAGTTAACAAAATAAATGATTTCTAAAACATCCTAAACTGGAGTTTATACCTGTAATTGTTGGAAGCTCATAAAAATAATTTTGACTCTCTCTTTAACAATATAGGGCTTCCCTAGTGGTTCAGACAGTAAAATATCTGCCTGCAATGTAGAAGACCTGGGTTTGATCCCTGTGCTAGGAAGATCCCCTGGAGAAAGGGATGGCTACCCACTCCAGTATTCTTGCCTGCAGAATTCCATGGACAGAGGAGCCTGGAGGGCTACAATCCATGGGGTGACAAAGAGTCAGACACAACTGAGCAACTAACACTTCACTTTTTTTAAACAATATACTGAATGATCCAAGATTAAATACACTTGGTAGGGTACAAAATGCTTAAAAAAAAAAAAACTTGCTCATTTAAAAAGTTTAAATTGAACTTTTCCCAATTTTAATCTGAAGATAAATGATCAATGTCAGATTTCCACATTGAGATAGGATAGAATTATTTGCGGCAGAACAGTGCTCTAGCCAAGAAAAAAGAAAGCTAGATTAAAATTTAAAAGTCATGTTTCAGACAGCAGAAGACTGCTGCTGCAACAATGACTTGAGCAGCTAGAATTCTGAAGAGGGTTTTTAGCTGGAGACAGGTGATTTTAAGATTGGAAGTCGTTTTTTCCTCCTAAGTTTTAAAGGGTAAAGGAATGGGCAAGAGGCTGAGATATCAGGCTGTGACTACAGAGAGGACTCTGGTTGGAGAACAGAGAAGTCATCTAAGCTTCTGGCATTTATGCAGGGCTGAAGTGACAAAATTAGAGATTTGAGAGTTGTTTCCATCTCAGATCATTTGCTAAATCCCAAACCTGTACAGGGCTCAAAGTTAAAAAGCTAAGCCCTAAGCCCTGTGAAAAGAACACTGGCATTTCCAACAGTCTTAAAATGCTGAGGAGACAAACACAAGACTAGAGGATTTTCCAGGAGTAGGTCCCTAATGAATACTCAGCTCTCAGTTCAGGAGACCTCACCAAAAGCACAGGGGTAAACCGCAGGTAGACCAAGATGCACCAAAACTCACCCAGCCTTCAAGGATTTTCTAAAGAACGTCAGATACTGATAGAAATGAACTAATAGGAAATATTTTATGAAGTAGAAAAGGGACAACTGGTTAAGTGATAAGCTTAAGCAAGCAAGAAAAGAGCTCCACTAGTGTGAAAGAGACAAGTTGTCTGCAAACAGAAATATGTAAGAAAGATATAAAGTAGAAAAGGCAGAGTATATGGGTGCCACACACAGGTAGGTTGGTCAATAATTTGGTGGGGACAAGCAGAAATTTCTCTTTCTATTGGCGAGAAGAAGTTGGATAGTTGAAGAGAAAGGAAGAAGATAAAGGAGTCCTCCAGAGGGGGAGAGTGAGTGGACTAGCAAAAGGCAAGAAGGTTATCGGGCTACTTGAAGACAACTATCATGAACAGTTCAGTCATCAAATGTGTGTGACAGACTCTTGCCATATAAAGCTTTGAAGGTATAGAATAGGCAGAAAGTTAAATTTATAAAACTTGGGTTTTGTTAGGTGAGCAGGACAAAGGAAGAAGGTCAGGACAACTGAGGTTATCTTACATACAAGTAGGAGATAATTATGGTGACCCAAGAAATCTAAGCTAGATAAAGGACATGAAGGGGTTGAAGGAAAGGCAAAGAGGTGATAAGATCAATATAATCAGGTGCCAGTAAAGTTGAAAATTTGCTAGAGTTTTAGAGTGAGCTGGAAAGATAGTAAGTGGACGCTTGAAATTGAGACTGATAATGACCAAGAATAAGATATGATCATAGGGTGGATAGCAGAATGGGTAAAGAGCATCTGGAAAATTGGAGGAGAGAGATTCAGAGAGATGAGATAGCTATTGAGAGAATCATCCACAGATATTTAAATCACCAAGAATTGTGACAGAAGTAAGCTAAAGAAAGAGACAGTAAAATAGATCCTAAAATCTTTAAGAGATGAAGGAAGCTATATGGGAGTGTATACATGACTGCAACAGGAGTGTGTAATGGGTGGTACAATCTGATGCATGGGTCTCAAAGCTGGAGGTGTTTAGAGAGAAAAAAGGAACAATGATCTAAAAGCACTAGTCAAACAAGCCGGCAAGGCCAGTGGCCCAACTGCTGGGGGAGGGAATACATTCACACTTGAGAGAACTGCAGTGGAAGCTGCATCCTCAGGGTGGTGATCAGGTTTCAGTTGGAGCAGGAAGGTGCAAGTAATGTTCAGAAAGGAATACCCTAATAATTTGATTCATTTATCCATGTTTACTAAAAGGTACTGAATTAGGCACTGGGAATAAAACAGTAATAAAGACATAATCTCAGCCCTCCCAAAACTGTGACTCAAGTAAGAAGTCTCATATAAAAGCGATTACTTTAAAGAATTGAACTAAATTTTTATAAAAAGCTAACAGTTTTATTAAGAAATGAGGATGCATATATTTGAAGAATGATATAACAAAATATGTGATTACCTTAATACAGCTAATCACTGTGGTATTAATTATAAGCTAAAAACTAATTTGAATTAAGAATAAGTGGGGGAAAGTCATTTTTTAATGTAAAGAAAGAGGGGAAAATGGTAGACATAGCTTTTTACAGATACATGCAGTTACCTGAGACAAAGCAGCATCTCGTTCTTCAATCACTGCGTTCATTGCTTCTGCAGTTATTCTCTTTTTACATTCCTTGGTCTTGTAGATTCGATCCACAATTATAGCTCCATTCTTCTGAATAGCTACCCCTGTGTCTGCGTTGTTTATTCTGTTCAGTAATTCCTGTAATGTCTACCAACACCATTATATGTTAGTCAGACATGAAGTTTTAATATATTTTATTTAATATAGGGTTTTAATTAATAGGCACATGTGAATTGTAAATTGACTGAGTGAAGTGATTGAATTTTCATATTGCAGCAAAGATGTACATTATTAGTGTGTCAATTCTGCTTTTTCCCACATCTTAGTTCTTGAAACCCACTCAATTGAACTTAAGCCTCTAAGATATAAGACTGACATCAAGAAATCTCCTCGGAGAATGGCTTACCATGTCATTTTCTTCAGGGTTAATATTTTCTAGCCTAGAAAAAAGGGACACAGAAAGCCTGATCAGTAGCATTTCCTTAGTGCAGCAAAATGAGTTCGCTTTTTAAATCTTTAGAACCTCAAGTAATTTCATTCGACTAGTCTTTAGAGTCAACCATGACACTGAACATATTAAAGTGCCACCTGCTCGACTCCATCTTTCAATAATGCTCCATATCTTCTGCACTGACTTCAGACTGTTAAGTTATTAATGTTTACTGCTATATATGACTACAAGGATCAATTGTTCATATGTGCTTAGATGAAGAAAGTTCCCCAGTGATAGAAGCACTCATTCTCATCATTATATTTATTTCTGGACTTTCAATTCTTAGCAGAAACTGTATTTCCTCTCCTTTTTGGACATCATCACAAATAAAACAAGGCAAGTATTTTTTACTACAGAGTTTAACAATGTTCCCTCAAAAAGCAACAACAAAGAATTACCACTAAATTTGACCTGACAATCTCCTGTTGCTATCTATTTGGTAAAACAAATATAGTGTGTAGAAACGCTGACCAAAACTGGGCCACACTTTCAGATGTCTAATATTATTTTCTCTTCTGCATAACATAGAATTATTCAAATTAAGGGCAAAAAAGGTAAAGTGGTTTCCATCATAAATGCATTTTTGTCTTACAAGAGTCATAGTGCTGGGGGAGGATGGGATGGGAGGTAGAGAGGGAAGCTCAAGAGGGAGGGGACATATGCATACCTATGTATACATATGTATACCATGTTGATGTATGGCAGAAAGTAACACAGTATTGTAAAAGCAATTATCCTCCAATTAAAAATAAATTTTAAAAAAAGTCTTAGTGCTCACTAAAATGTTTGCTGATGTTGGTAAATTGAAGAAATGCAGTAAAGTAAAGAAAGAAGTTCTAAATCACATATTTAGAAAATGTCTGTAATGTAACTTAGGCGATAATTAAATTTGGTAGATTAAATGAAACTCTATCATGGATACCAGTGAAATGACTTAGATTTTAGAAATGATTTCAATTATTTAAAAACTGTACTAGGGAATTTCGTGGTGGTCTAGTGGTTAGGGCTCTGTGCTCCACTGAAAGGGGCATGGGTTCAATCCCTGGTCGGGGAACTCAAGATCAGACATGATGTGCGGTGCAACCAAAAAAAAAAAAAAAGGCAAAATAAAAATTGGACTAAAATTTTATATATCCAAATTTTTGTTTTGATTTTCTTCCCCTCTATTTCTTTGCTCCTATGATTTAACATTTACCACACACACAAAAAAAAAGGATACTAGGGAAAAATAAAAGATACTTAATAAATTTATTACAAAATTGTTCCAAACTCCACAGTTCAAACTACTACATCAATAGAGAGGAAGTAAAGATTTTAGAACACTGCATTTTCGCAGGAAAAAATATGAATGTATGTAAAAAAAACTATTTCTACCCATATTTAAATAGTGTAAGTTAACAAGTAGGTGAAGCAATTTTGAATTATATATATTTAATGTATTATATCTCAAACTCCTAATGTCCCCTTGGATTCACATTCCAATAAGGGTAAATATGTACTCTAATCTTTTATCTTTTTCTCCCCAAATCAATCCAAAGTTTTCAAATATTCTACTTCATAGAAGCTTAGTTTATAAGAACTATGAAGATAATCACTTCTTTTACTCAATTAAAAAATACAGTGGAAAAGTATAAGATAAAATTCTTACACTTGTTTAAGATCATATAAAACTATTTGAAAAACATGAGCAGCTTTAACCATCAGTTACTGGTTGGCTAAATATGATTTTTAAGAAAGCCATAGGTGGTGAGAAACATTTACCTTAATGTTGTTCTCTACAGATGAAATCAAAATAAGAGCTGATCAACGACAGTTTCCAAAGATGATTAAATTTTCATAAATTTAACAATTTATTAAACTTGATCATTTAAAATGGGAAAAGACACATGGAAATTAAGCGTTTAGATGTACAGATTACTGGAAACAAAAAAACTTATTTCTCAGTATTACACATCTCCCCTTTTTTTTTGTTTCAAAGAATTACATATGGATGAAGAGAAAACGGCAGTAGAGACAGGTTAACTAATTCATATGTTCCAAATAATCAACACGATAAAAAGTGCATGGAATTCCTGTATAGTATCTGTACATTTTTTTCAGGCACTGCAAAATGAACAGTTATTACCTTAAGGAAAATCAAAGAGTTTAAATGATTTAAATTAAGTTTTCAACAGGAAATGGTTAAGATAACTGTATTTAATCTAATATTAAATTCTCTGCTAACAACTAAAATTTAAAAAAAAATATTAAAATCGAATTTTCTTAGCAGATGTTATATACTGGATCCTCAGTATATGAATGCAGCATTCTGATTATAAATAACTTGTGTGGTTGTCTTTCAAAGTACATGATATACAGTGATTTATCACTTTCTGATAAATGAATCTGAATCATGTTTTAGTGAGTATGTCAGGTCTGAAATACAGGGCATGAGTGAGTGAGCCAAGTCAGCCACTTATGTGAATCTCAATTTTGCTTTATTATGACCTTTTAAAATTGATATAAGTATAAAGATAAATGGTCACTAAGAGAAAAATAAAACATGAAAAGAAAAACTTAAAAACTCTCGTACAAAACAACGAGGCATCACCTAATACCTGTTAGAATGGCTGTTATCAAAATGACAAAACAGTATATTTGACACATTTTTCTGAGGTGGATCATTCAATATCTACTTAAAGATTAAAAATCAAGAAAAGTGGCTTCCAGAAGATTAAATATAGTTCTATGGTAAGTACATACCATACTGTATCACTAATGAAAACAAAAATTAGACAAACAACTTACCTTTAAAAAACTGAAGCAATTTAAAAGTTATATAAGACATTCAACTTTCTATGTAAAATGACTTTTTAAGCTTAAGGTTTACTAGCAGCGTGTACAACATATAAGTTTTATTTGCTTAATAAAGATAAAATAATAGTTGTCATATGAAATACAGCTGACAAATTATACATTATATATCAATAGAAAGTTTACAATTAAACAAAAGAACCTCAACCTTTCATAAACTCTAAATTATTCCTATAACAGTCTAATTAGACAGTCATGATAATCAGTAAGAATATTGCTGAAGTAAATGTCCATGGGCTCAAGTTTCAATTGATTTCCTATACCATGCAAATTCTGACTGACAACCTTGCACTCTAAGTGAAAAGACTCATGCACGAAATGTCACATTTCTTGATTTATTCCTAAATCAGTCAATATAACATCTTTTCCTTCTGAACCTAGAGTCATTTACCTTGTTCAATGGGAAGAAGCAAAACTTTGACCCCAAATGATAAAAATAATTAATGATCAGCTTATCAGAAAATCCTGAAGTGATTATTTTTTCTCTAAGTCTCATTTTTTACACAGTGCCACCTTTAATACGGTACAAAAAAATACACCAATAATAACAGACTGAAAAAAGATATCATGATCTCAAAAGCTGGAATGTTCATATGCACACATGTCTATATTGGAATGCTACAAAAGTCATTTTACCTTGAATCCTTTTTATTTTTTCCTAGTTCTGGATAGAAGCAAAAGAGACAAAAAAGCATTAAAAATTCAGGGAGTAAGGGAAAGCAGAGAAGTGACAGAATAATAAGACAAGACAAACATTATACAGAAAGAAGCAAAGTAGATCAGAAGTGGAAAAAAAACAGTAAGAGAAAAGAGAAGGAAGGAATTTCCAGATAACAGGAAATAAGAAATGAGGAATTAAAAAAGAAATGTTGGAGAAGGAAATGGCAACCCACTCCAGTATTCTTGCCTAGGAAATTCCATGGACAGAGGAAGCCTGGCCTGCTACAGTCTATGGGGTCACAAAGAGTCAGACACAACTGAGCAACCGAACACATATGCTATTACGAGACCAAAGGAGAGAGAAAGTTCAAATTGAGAATAACTATTACATCCCATCGATATGGGATAAATTGATATGGGATACTTTGCTCTGCAAAGTAGAGCACTATCTCTCAAACCAAGGAAAAAGCTCATTGTTTAGAGAAATAAAGATGCAAAACCCTTTTTAAAAATGAGAGAGATGCAAAATAATTCATATATTTTCTTCTTATACACAGTGCTTCTAAATATGCCTTTCAGTCAAGCAAAGCTCAGTTATAAATTGGTTCCATCTTAACAAAGATTTAGTCTGAAATGCACTACTGACGGTCAGAGTTCACAGACCTCAGGTAACTAGAAAGGAACCTCTACAGCGCCATATAAAACTGTACTGACATGCTATTTGTTGCTGCTGTTGTTCTTGCTTCTTATGCATTTGTCCTGATCCCCTTACCTGAAACCCTAGACTGTAATAAAGTAGCAGCTGTCTGTAAACTTTTCCTAGGAACTAAAAATTCTTCATTATCACTTGAAATTATTTTAAATATTTATGTAATTATTTACTTGATGCTGATCTTAACTGAGATCATAATGCCGTGTTCCCAGCAACTAGCAGTGTGGACACTGACACTTAGCACATATTCAATTAAGTCTTTATTGAATGGACTAATTAACTAAAAGAGAAGGCTTAGAATAGGACTGTTTTCCTTTTCTCCCTTCCCCAGTCTTCCCTCAATATGAACTCTACCTAGAACAAAATGAAAAAGGCTATACCTCAAAGAAACCTAATTTTCATGTATTGCAATAAAAACTATAACAAAACATATATACAAATGAAAATAGACACTGGAGGCTAAAAAATTTAAAGAAGGTTCAATTTAGATCCATCTTTTAAAGAGACAGAATGAACTGACCATCTCCTCGTCCATAAAGCAAGTCATATTTCCAAGGGAAAAAAAAAAAAGAGATAGAATGAACAAAACAATTTAAGAGGAATTCTGAGGAAGAAGTTTTGGTTTGGATATGTGGGAGAGCAGCTATGCCACTGATTGGTACAGGGAATTAAGGAGAATCAGGTTTTAAAAATAAATTAATAATTCCATTTTTGGATATGAT